ATTAGACCTTATAAATTAAGCAACTAAATAATTTTTTTAAGGAAAAAATATTTATTGACAAATAATTTAAAACATAAAAAAAAAAATAGGGAAAACTTTACCGTTGGGAACCAGATCCCCATGAACTCCGAGCGGGGAATCCCCACCTCGATCCCCGCAAAATTTCATGGGGAATTTTGCGGGAATGGAAAATTAAATGGGAGGTAGGGATGAGGATGAGGATGGCGTCCCATGAACATCCCTATTTGAGTTTCATGTGTCAATTAATTATATTCAAGTAACATATTCACGTTTTCAAATATTTTAATAATACACAAACTTTTTGTGTTCAACAAATTGTTCACATCCCCGATGAAAATTTCAAAAGATTAACCATGAAATTAAGAAAAAGGACTTTGAAAGATTAGTGGCAATTAATGATTTCTATAACAAAAAGATAATAATTGCAAACTCCCAAGAGCAAATAAGGGTTTGTAGGAGTGAAATCTAAAGATAAAAGAAAAAATGTACCAAAAGCCTTTTGGGTCCCCAATATAATCAAAGCACCCACGGATATCCTAATTTCGTGCACTCCTAATTTAACTAACAAAATTTAATGAAAGAATATAAATTGAGACAAGTTTAAGATTTTAAATGAAAATTATTAGTTTGAAGTTTTAATTGATGCATCCATCTAACTTGCAGGTATAAATTGATTTTTTTCCCCTTTAACAAACTTTACCTAATTTTTACTCAACCCTTAGATTAATTTTGGTTCTTATACTTTCACTAAATTAATAATTTAATCTCTCAACTTTAATTTGTAACAATTTAGTCTCTATCCTAAAATTTTTTATTAAAATTAAGTGTCAAATTTTATCATATAACAATTTAATCTTTCTAATTCATAAACTTATTTGATCTCTCTTTGGTTTATCAATCTATACATACAAGAAACGTAACAAAAAAAAAATTCGCGATAAGGACTTAATCGTTACCAACTTTAGATTAGAAGAACCAAATTGTTACATATTAAAGTTCAATGACTAAATTGTTACAAATTAAAGTCCAGGAACTAAATTGTTACTTTAATTTAACCATTAATTTTCCTCAAATATTTTCTTAAGCGCATTTTTCCATCTTCCTCAATATTTTACTTTTCGTTGGATATTTAATATTGCTAACAATATATAGGTAAGTTTTAAAAACACATTAATTCAATATATATATACATAGAGAGAGAGTAAGTACACGTTATTCACATTCAAAAGGAGAAAAAAACACATATTTATGAGTATAAGTATGAATATGACCATTCAAGCCCTTAAATAATAATAATCAATTACTAAATCGTAGTCAAAGCTAACATGATTTAAAGCTTAATCAATCAATTTAAATACATAAAAAATTACGTATTATTTGATTTGGTTAACAAAGAAAAAGGTAATTAATTTAAATATTATTTTAATATTTATAATTCAAAAACATCTATTTTTTGTTTATATATTTTCTAAAAGTGGCTATCATAATTTTCAGAACAAAATACCAACAATTAATAAATTATTTTGGAATAATATTTCATTGGCGTGTTTCAAATGGTTTTTATTACAAAATATGTGTCATGATTTTCCAAACGAGGACCACAAGTCTCTTCTTAAAAATGTATAGGATTGAAATTGAACATTTTTGTAAATAAATAAAATAAAAATCCAGATTTCATAATTCCTAATCTTTTAGGTTTTTTCCAATTTGATCCTTAATATTTTAAAATATGAGAATTTTTTATTAATAAAAAGTTAATATATTATTATTTTTTAAACTTACTCGGGCATGTGGACGTGCCAATTAAAAGAAATAATATTTTTAGTACAACAAATTTAAGTGTGGAGATTTTAACCTCCAACTCAAAGATCATTTATTTTCGAGAATCTAGATAGCTATCAGATGTTTAAAATATAAAATATTTGGAATTATTAATGTCTGGCATATTTTAAATATGAATATTTATCGGAATATTTGGAAATACTTGGGTGTTTATATTTATTTTCAGGATTTATAATAAGAATGTAATAGAACAATGATTTTAATTATTCATCGACATTTCCATCGACATGTTTCCTTGAATTATGAAGGGTAAATTGATATTTCCATCATAGTACAAGAAAATCGACAAAATATAGAACATATCAACAAAATGTCACTAATATATACATAATAGTAATATTAATTATTTTTAACTAATTTAGAAATGGGAAAATGTTTATATGTTAATTTAAATATTTTTTACAATTTTTTTTTAATTTTTCTAACTTTTACACAAATATCTATGATATCGACATTTTATCGATATTTCCATGAAATTGGGATTTCGAAATTTCCGTTGACATCAACATTTAAAACCTTGAATAGAACTATACTGTTCCAACAATATCGTTACTAGTCATTATAAAATTTATATATTAAAATATATTTTAAAAATATCATTTTTTGAATTCATATTACAATTTTGTTTTTATTAATTTAATATTATATTTTCATGTCAATTCAATTTATGTCGAGACTTGAGAGCGGCTATTAGAAGAGTAAAATAAATGAAAGATTACACACTAGATTTCAATTTAGATATAAAATTGACTACAATTTATCTTATATCTATATGTAGTATATAAATATAATTGAATATAATTAATTATCAATGAATTAATGCATTAATTTATTAAAAAAAAAAGAAATAAAGAGAATCGATGAAAAGAAGTATGTATAAAATAAAAATGAAGGACAAAATTATTGTCATAATGAGATGCCCTCAGCATAATCATCTTAAAAACCTAGCTTAAATCATTCGGATATCTCCTGTATGATGTCGGTATCTAAAAATGTAAGATATTCAATAATAAATCAATCACACGAATCTAGATATCCATTCTAAGATTTCTGCGAAACAGATGGCCCTAATAAAATTAATAATATACCTTTACCAATCAACCATGCCCATATTGTTTAAAAGATTTAGTTCTTTTGACGAGCAAGTTGAATCACATGTGTCAAAGTAATATTCAAATAACATATCAATTTCTTTGTGAACAAATTTTAACAAATCAGGCCCCATTGAAAACTTAGAAATATTGATCATGAAATTAAAAAAAAAACACCTAGAAGTCTAAAAATTAACATTTTCAATTTTTTTGTCGGAAAAATACTTTAACTCATTAGTTATAATAGCATCTATCTTTATATTGTCCTTGTCACCGTTGGATGATAAAAAAAATTTAATAAAAATAAATTGCTAGGTATCGATTTTTCATATGTTAACAAGATGGAGATAGATGGAGAGGA